CAATGGGATCTCCTGTTTTAAATGGAAGTGAAGGGCAAAGGAAACCCTGTATTTTACCTACCTGTGTGTTGTATAAAAGAGTAGAGAGAGGTACTCAGCTGTGTTAATCTGAAGTCAGGCAGAAGGTAGGGTAGCTTTTCACCTTATAGACTAATTAAATCAGAGATGCACAGCTTAAGCTGCCATGAGCACCAGGCTTACTTCATCAGGTTGCAGAAATGAAATGATGGGACTTGGGTGACAAGTTTGAGGCTCAGGCAACAACGCTGGCTGCTTTGTGATTCGACTGGTCTGACAGGTACCAAACATCACAAATATATAAAAAGGAAGATGAGGACAGAGGAATGTATGTTCTTATGACAGCGTCACTAGAACTGTCCCTGGTTTCCCTTTGCCATGATATTGTTTTCCTCTGTTATTGGTTGGATGACAAATTCTAGCCAACATTTTTTTTGTGGTATGTATCTATAGCCATATTCTGTGTGGGCCATGAGTGCCTGCAGGGTCCCTGAAATGAGGCCTCTGCACAAGATTTTTGGTCAAAGGCACAAATACAGCAAGTTGGGGAAAGACCCGGTGCTATGCCCTGCTGCGGCGTGAGCTTTCTTGACTTTGCCAGGGATACTTGGGAGTTTACAAAATGTGGACCCTGTGGGTGGAAGCCAAGTTTTGGGCATGTTCACTGTCCCTGTCAATGCCCCTCCTATTTCCTGCTATGTACATGCCGTTAAAGCTGGGAAATAAATATCACCTCATTTCCACCAGTTTAATTACATGCAGCCTCAGCAGCAGAAACACATTTTTAAACATCCTCTGTAGTGAAAAGAATGCTTTTAGCATGCATCACTCTCTGTTCAGAATAAGCACGCCAATCTGTCTTCTCACAGCTATATGAATGATACCTTGTGGAAAGGTAGATAAGACAGACAGCCTTTAAGAGAAACATAAACCTAAACGTGGCCTCTGGTTTGTGGTTCTGCTTTTGCTTCTTAAACAGCCAATTTTAAACATTTTACAACTCTGCTCTGTGTCCAAGGCGAGACAGTGAGAGAGTGTGTTTTCTGGAGTCAAGATGAAGTTTATTTGTCTGGCTGCAAAGGCTAAGCAGGGTTAAGAAATAGATGTACCATTATTTTCCTCTGCTGGAATTTTTACAAGGTGTTAAACCAAAAGGTGCATTCAATGTGAAAGACAATGATGGGAGGAAAAGCATTCTCTGTCACCTCTCTCTTAACTCCCATAGTGCCACATGCTTTATTTGGAAGGAACAATGCCAACTGATAATGAACTATTTGCTATTCAAAGCTGCAAGTCAAATCTTCGTTTCTCATTAATAATTCAATGTGACAAATTTATTACCTTGAAGGTGCTGTGAGGCAATTAGACAATGGGAAATTGTGTCTTCCTTTCAGCCCACTTAATTGGCTTTCAAGTGTGACATTCATCAAAACCTTGACTTTTTATGTAAACTTTCCATTATGTGATCCATAGCTCTGACACGGGAACTATGAGTGCTTGGCAAAACTCACCTGGGGGGAACTTCGCATTTTTTTTAATAATAGCGGAGAGACGAGTGTCTGTGAGAGTCTACGAAAAGCTTAATTAAAGTCAATGGCGAAATCATACCAGCATATCATTGCTTGGTACTTTCCTCATAATAAAATGGTCTATAGTTACTATGCAATTTCAGAATTATGGCTGTTTGTACTCTCTCAAGGAGTGCGTTACAAAATTGTCAGTGAAAATTAACATCTTTACCCTGTTCTTTCCAGTTTCATATATTGTTTTGGAAGAAATAGAATGAATTTGGTTTAAAGATCACCTTTTGTACTTCAGGTATTTTAAAGCACTTTGCAAAGTAATGATACAATATTAAACAGTGATAGGAGAGAGATTACCTTTCTAATAAGCACCCAAGGGCAAACAAATCATTTGAGCACTAGATTTCATCTTCTTGGACTTCTTTTCCAATGTGACTGACTTCAGTGCTGACCTTTAAAAGACTGCCATATGAGCTCTTGAGTCTGAGGAGCAGCTCTGACTACAGAAGATTATTTTGCAGCTGTTGCATGTGTGTTTTCAATGGGTGACATTCACACTGTGTTTTGCTGCTCTGTATCCTGTAACTGATTTGTGTGTGGCTGCAGTCCTTCAAGGACACTCTTGAAAATGAAATTGTCAGTTTCAAAGGTCTGATTTGTCCTTGTAGCTTAAGCGCAATTGAAAATAGCATAACAAGTAGCTTGGAAGGTGAACAGAGGTCAACAACTTATTCTTTCCTTATTTGATCAGAATGCATTTTGGTTGCTGGAAACCCTTGTTGCTAGCGTCCTTGCATTCCTACGATGCAACTTTAAAATAGTTTGCAAAGATTTATGTTGTTTTCCTTTGTGCTGTTCCTATACGTTTGTGCTTAGTCTTGGAAGGACCAGGTTGTAGGTGCTCTGGCCAGTGGCTGGGCCACCAGAATGAAGGTGGAAGCCAGAGGTGGCGTCCGAGGTACTCAAACTGAGGGGGACTCGCAGAAGCAGAGTCCAGGTCAGGGTGCTAGAGTCAGAGACCACATGACCACATCCGGGGCAGAGCCAATCCCAGGCTGAATCCAGGTTCTAGAGTCAGAGACCAAGTTACCAAAGCCAAGGGTCTTTCCAAGCAGCCAGAGGCCAGAACAGAGCTGAGCAGGGGCAGAGCCAGAAAACCAAAGAGCATAAGATTCAGAGAGGCTGATGGCTGGCTCCTGCAGATGGACTTAAACATGGATTTCCCCAAGAGCCTCTCTGGAAACCCTAAGAGTAGCCAGCTGGCTTATCCATAGGGTTAGAGCCTCAGGCAGGTTTGGCCTGGTAGGCAATTAGTCCTGGTTGAGCTGCCCGTTAGGGCCCCCGACAATCCTCGTTGAACACGCAATGGTACTTTTGCACTGAAAATTTTAAGGGACTGTAGTTTACTTCTCTGACTTCTTATAGACTGGTGAATCTGGTACATACCTTTATTTTTCCAGTCTTTCTTCCTGCTCTGACGTACCTCAGTGCACTGCAGCATTCATGGAGCCTTCAGGTGGTAGAATAACTCCACTGACTTCTTTGGATCTACGTTGATTTACACCAACTGAGACTTTGGCCCATGTATTTTCTGTACTGCAAATTTACTGTTTATGCTATATACTATAAATAGTAACCTAAATGTTTCATCTTTTCCTGTCATCACATTTGGCCTCTGTGTTCTTTGAGGCAGTTTGGGGGAAAAGGTTGGATACTCCTGGTTCCTCGGTCCTTGGACTGTTAACACAGTCACTGTTTTGGGGAATGTCACCCCAAAGTCCTCTCTGCCTCTTCTGTGATTACCATTTTCTGGGGCACAGTCTACGTGCTGTGACAAAAATACACCCCCCACCAGTCAGCAGTATCCATGATATTTGTCACTCCGGGTGGTGGGGAGATAAGGGGATACAGCCCCATTTTGTTCACTGGGTTTTTGTTCAAGTCCCCCAAACGTCTCAGCAGTTCCACAGGTCACACTTCACTCTTCGTTCTATATAACTTTTGGACCACTTTCACCTCCATTCTTTGGGAAGCCTTTGCTCTGTCTCTGTTGGGACTCCATCTTCTACCTTGTGTTTCATAGCTCCAGTTATTCCTGGTCCTCCCCTAGCAGATATTCTTCAGTTTCTCTTGTGTAGCAGGGGCCAGGCTGAGCCCTGTACATACCAGGACGGTGGTTGCTGGTGTGTTCTTCAGGCAGCAGATCCTTGGCTGGGCTCGCAGAGAAACGGTGAGCCCGAGCACCACCAGCATGCCCCATTGCACTGCTGGAGAGGCAGCTAGTGCGCAGCAGACATTCCCCAGGCTCTGCTCCCAGAGCGGGGTGATGGTCTGCACCCCAGCCCCGTGTGTGCTTGAAAGGAAGGCAGGCAGCTGGCACAAGAAGTGCTGACTAGGGCCTGGAGTCAGCAGGTGCAGGTTAAGGACCTCCTCAAGGGCTCTCAGCACCTGCCGATGGCAGCAAGGCATGTGGGGCCAAGTAAGGGTCAGGATTGGTGCAGACTGACCCAGAACTCCTTACGTGAGGCCGCATCGACCCCAGGAAAGGGGGAATGCCAGCGCGGGCAAGGGGTTACTCAGTGTTTCTCCATGGGAGCTGAAGACCAGGAGCAAGGGAACAGGATCACTTTGGCTCTCTGCACAGATCCCGACCACCACTCCACCTCAGGAGGTCAGGTACCTTTGGGGGCTACTGAGGGGTTTGTGATACCCCTGGCCCTACATTACTCAAAGGGGTCCAGCCCCAGGACGGACTGGCCCACTCAGACTGGACTTATATAAAGGGGAAGCCATGAGGGGCTTGGGCAGCCTGAGGGGTGGTGGCTGAGATACCCTGCTTGTCTAAGGAAGGGCCTAGAGCAAGCATGGACACAACGATTTTAGTTATATTAGTTTATTTGTTTCTTTATGTGAGCCATATGCTGCTGATCTCAGAACTGCAGTAGAGACTGGAGGGCTCAGCTGAGCCACGCTGACTCTGGGCAATGTCGTTCCCTTCCGGCTTGGATTCCTCGGCCTGAACAACAGGCCCAGGTGCCCGGTGCGGGTCTGGGCATGAACTCCTGAGTGGAAAGAGGAGGAGCCCCACAGAAGACTTGTAGATGTAGTGACCTGTAATGGTCTCAGCCCAACTCCCTCCATCCGGTACCACTTCCTGAAATCCCTTTTTGATTATACCAAGTCATGGCAGGTGAGAAATGAAAACAAGAAAGTGAGACACCTGCTGAGCGTGCGGCACGTGGGCCCCATCCCAGTGTAGCCATTCGGTCTGGGACCCTCTGTAAGTGCCCTTAGTCTTGGCAGTACAGGTTTCCCTCACTTTATGCTGTACATGTGTTCCTGGAAAGTGGCACATAACTCAAATTTGCATAAAGGGAACCCACTTTACAATGTAACAAATAGGGATATGTTCCAAGACCTCGACTGCACTGACCCCCAGACCCATTTCTACCACTTTTGCAAGACAGTTTTGGTACTCACCAACAGCAGACAGCACACACAACCACAGGGCACTATCATGATGGGGATGGCAGCTGCAGAAACACGTGTCACAGACAACAAGTGAGGGGCACAGATCCACACAGGAGACTATATTTTGGTGCGTGTCACTCCCACAATGCACTGCACAAAGCAGCTGACTGCGGGCTTCCACTGCACCGGTCACATGAGAGTGAATTTACTTCGCCTATAACGAATTTTTGGTCTAAAAGGGTCATTGCATAAGAGCGAATTCGCACACATGGGCCCACATAAAGAGAGGGAAACCCATCTCTTCCCAAGGAACTCTTTCTTTCCCACTGGGAGCTGTCCAGCACAACTTCCCAGCCTGGCAGCATCTGCCTCTTCAACTATGCAGCGTTGCATTGCATCCTTTCCCTGGTTTGTGTCCTGCGACAGCCCTGCAAGGCTCACTCCCCATTGGATGGGCCTTCTATCCTGTGCACTGTCAGAATAGGAATCTCTAATCTCATGATGTTGTTATATTTAGAAGCATAATTTAGTCCCCCAGGCCACAAAGCAAGCAAATGTGGAGCTAACTGTAACCAAGTGTGAAGTGATATTAATTGTTCTGAAGAGTCAGGGTCCTAGTCAGATGATGCACTTGTTTAATTTTAGGACAATGACGTGTAGCCAGTAGAAGTTGTGTGTGTAGGTGACAATTGGCATACAACTGCCTGTGCTTTGTGTGTCAGGGAATGACACAAATACCAATAGACCCTTCACTTAAAAGAAAAAACCCATCAAGGTTGAATTTTAGTCTCTGCAAGGAGAGCTTCGTTAACAATTTTCTGCTCAGCGTTGCCTCTATGGTTCTTTAAAATACTTCTCATACCCTAACTCATTTAGCTTCACTTTAGGTAATTGCTGTTTCCCTTGTTTTATGGATGGGGAAATGAAAGCACAGAGGTTTGCAGATGCTCTAAGGGAAAGGAAGTCAAGGAACTCATAGTTGATATTTATGTATTGGATAGTCCCTGGATATATCCTTGTAACAAGGCTAAAGACCTCACTGGGCATGTCTACACAAGATATTTACTGCAGAGCTGCCTAATTAGCTCTGCAGTAAATGTTTCAGTGTCTACATGTGCGGCCTTATTAGATCACAGTAAGCTAATAAACTCCACGGCAGGTTAGTACTTGTAAACACAAGTATTATCTTGCTGTGGAGTTTTTTAGTGCACAGCAGTGCTCATGTAGACACTCACTTGGCTGGCTGGGGCAGGAGGGTGCTTCAGCATGGGGCCTGCCTGCTGGCTAGCCCTGCCCTGAAGCACCCTCGTGCCCCAGCTGGCACGTTGAGCTGGCTTTGAACAGCCCCCGGCTGGCAGGCTGCCCCCTGGGCTCTTTGCCAGCTGGGGCTGCTCTGACCCAGCTCAACATGGTGCAGTCCCAGGCGCACATTCAAACAGTGTGCCTGAGTGCAATAAACTCTGGCGTGATATGTGCCGGAGTTTATTGCTGCATGTTAATAGCACATGTAGATAAGCCCACTGTGTAATAACTGGATCCAGGTTACAACTAGGTCTCCAGTTGTATTTGCCATGTACAGAAGTGCACAGTCACTTACTTAAGATCACCGAGGAAGTCTGTGGTAGTATAAGTAATAGGACCTAATCACCTAGAGTCCTTCTCTTAGTCTATTATTTCCTACTTTGATTACAGTTTTGTTCACAGAGTCCTGATTCATAAACATATTGCAAAGAGTGGGTGAAGAATAATTCATCTAGTCTGAACATTTGGGAAAAATAATAACTAAATATACACCTGATTTTAAATACTTGAGTGAAATGCTGCCTTCTTGAGAATGAAAAATGACAAGCAAAAATATATAATAGTCCTCATATTTAGAACAGCTTATTTTTCTTTTGTTAAAAAACATGTCTTACTAAACAGTCATTTTCTAAAGCTTGTGTTGTATTAAACAATCATTAACATGTCAAAATCAATCTTCTTTTTTTTAAGTCAATCAACATTTTTCAATTGTCAACAAGAGAGGGGGGGAAAAAATGAAGGTCAACATTGCATCAGTCTTTCCAAAAAGCACTGCATTGTGAATTATTTAGGTGTTCAAATCAATCCATTTTTTTCTTTTCACTGGTTGGACAATAAAAGTAAGATTTACTGCGGCAAGTGAATAATAAAAAAAGAATTAGCAGAAAACAAACAAAAAGCTGCTCACTTGGCAACCTTCTGCGTTAATCAAAACCTGAAGACTAGACTGAAAGATCAATATTTGGCTTCAAGATGAAACATAGCAAAGCTTCCATTTAAGAAAAAAAAAGGGAATTTCTGAATAAAAAGGAACACAGACTGTGTTAATCGAAAAAAGTCAAATACAAAAATCCATACAGTCCTTTGGTGATCTGTGATAAAGTAGCCCCATTGGAGCTTGACAAATTACAGTATTTTTATGCACATATCAAAGTTCAACTTGATTGTCTCATATGGGGGAAAAGACCATCTGTCTGTATTCTAGAAATAATCTGCATAATTGACTTTCAAACAAGCCTCAAAGAAATAGGCATTTATCACCCTAATTGTGACAGGCAGAATGTGTGTCCCTGCTATTTTATCAAGATAATGGTAATAGCACTGTGGATACCTGATATCTTGTCTTGCCCTCAATTTTTTTTCAATTTGTGCATGTGGGAAATGGATCCGCCGAGTTCTGCAAGTATTCTGACAAGTTACAGAGGAGAATTATCCAGAAAAATAGTAGAACTGGAAACCACCAAAACCTGCGTTATATGTGAATTGATGAGTTTAGCAACCTGCGTGGAACTTGGGAAGAAGAGCACAAGTTGTTGGAGAGAGGAGTTAGAGGAGGCACCAGGCAGTAGGGCTGTGCGAAATTTCGCTGCCGGTTTTGTTTTGAGGCTGCTCTGGCTTGTTTCGAGATTGAAACAGCGAAATTGAAAGGAAACAGAAATTGTCGAAACAGCCTCAAAACAAAATGAGGCAAGTTGAAGCGTTTCGCCGTTTCGACGCTGTTTCGCCGTTTCGCCCATAGGTTATAATGGGGAAGCTCAAAAGAGCCTATAACTTTGTCATTTCTGGCCTGATTTGGATGAAACTTGCAGGAGTCGTAGCCCCTTGTGAGAGCATGAAGCTTGTATAGCTTCAGTGAGATAGGTGCAGGGGATTTGGGGAAACTGCACCCCAAAGTTTTGAAAGCAAAACTCACGTCACATGTATGTGTTAAGCCACAGCCAGGTCAAAACTGCAGGCCTGCTAGCCCCTGCTGAGGCCACGAAGCCTGCCAGCTGTCAAGGAGCTAGGTACAGGGCTTCTGGGGCCCTGCACCCCTAGCTGCTGGCAGGTAAAACTCATGTCATGGGTGCTTGTGGGTCTGTGTTTGTCTTGCTGCAGAGGGGGGTGAAAACTGCAGGCCTGCTAGGCCCTGCTGCAGCCATGAAGCCTGCCAGCTGTTAAGGCGATAGGTGCAGGGGGACTCTGGGATCTGGGGCCGTGCACCTCTGGCCACAGGCAGGTAAAACTTGTGACATGGGTGGGTGACACTGTGTGTGCTCAGGTGCACCCTGCCTGGCACTGAGGCCTCTGCCTTTTCACCCCGCTCTGCCCCAAGACAGACAGACAGTCAGTTGCACAAGCACCCATGGCACGAGTTTTGCCTGCCAGCAGCTGGAGGTGCAGGGCCCCAGAACCCAGACTCCTCCTGCACCCATTTCCTTGACAGCTGGCAGGCTTCGTGGCCTCAGCAGGGGCTAGCAGGCCTGCAGCTGTCACCTTGCTGCGCCTTAACACACACAGTGTCACCCATGTCACGAGTTTGCTTGTCTGCACCTTGAGGTGCAGTTTCCCCCAAACCCCTGCACCTATCTCCTTGAAACCTGGCAGGCTTCATGCCCTCCAAAGGGGCTATCATTCCTGCATGTTTCATCCAAATCAGGCCAGAAATGACAACGTTATAGGCTGTTTCAAGCTTCCCCATTATAGCCTATGGGCGAAACATTGAAACAGTGCTGAAATGGTGAAGCGGTTTCGACAGAACGGAGCAGAACAGCTGTTTCAAATTGAAACAAAGTCTGAAACGAAACACTGTTCTGTTGAAACGCTGGTCGAAAGAGAATGGTGCCGTTTCGCACAGCCCTACCCGGCAGTCTGAACACCTGCATGTGGCTTGAATGCTCTTTGAAGCTGCAGCATCTCTTTAAATAGTTCCCTTAGTCAAAAGTCCTTTTACTTTTAGAAAAAGGTGACCCTTTATGCTGTTCCTCAGCAAGAGGTGCACCAAACAGGGTTATTTGTGTCAGGCTAAAATTCTGTCTAAAATTCAAAGCAAGTCTCATGAGTGATGGTTTGTTATGTGGATAGGATTGCTTCACGTATGCCATCTTGGGCTCAGATGTTGTCAGATCTCATTTGTGAAGGCTTGTGACTGAGGGCAGAGCTGGGAAAGGGGCTCCAGAGCTGTTCCTGTCCAGCTGCAGCTGGGCGGCACATGGAGCCAGACTCAGCTAGAGACAGTGGTGATGGTGGGAGCAGTGGGTGTGTTACCTTCTCCTCAGCTGGCAGGAAGTGCTGAGGGGACCTGCCAGGGAACAGCTGCTCTGCCTGCTGCTGCTTGTCCCTGGCTGAGCCCAGCTCATGGGCAGCCTGGCTGGAGGGGGTAGGAGCAGCTCTGGAGCTCCAAGATCCACATGTTCAACTGCAGACATGGCAAGAAATGTCAGGAGAAAAGTGTTGATCCTAGTGATGTCAGGTCACAGCTCTTTCCCTTTGTCTCCTGTGTCTATCTGCCTCCATAGCAAGGCAAGCTCACATGAAATGATTGATGCCTCATTGTACATCGCGGTGCCATTGGGAATGATTCAGTGTTTGAACATGCAAAGTATTGATGTTTAAATGCTACATTTCGGAAGGAGAAATCAAATACAAATAAGGAATAACTGACAAGGCAGGGGGATTTTAGGGGATTGCCAACTGAATATAAGTCCATAATGTGGCATTATATCAACAAAATTCTTGCACGTAAGCTGTGGGATGTGCTGGGGAGGCTTCAGCTAGAATACTAAGTCCAGTTTGGGGCACTTCACCTGAAGATATAAGTAGAGAAACTGGGAAGAACCCAGAGGGGAATAACAAACCAGAGAGATTTAGAAAACATGAGTTGTGCAGGAAGCTTAGAGGAACGGTGTTTTTCTAGTCTAGGGAAGAGAAGACAGAGGAACCCTGTGATAACCCTTTAT